CTGGGCGTGACTGTCAATTCTGTTTAATATTTGTAATAATTGAAAAGATTTTATTTTTCTTGCAAAATGATAGAAACATAAGCATTTTAGTGAACGAATTTCAAGCTTGAAAGATCAAAAGTATGAAAATTTGGATTTTTAGAATTTTGAAATATTTTGAATATTTAATTTTCAAACTTCGAATATTTGAAACTTAAAATGTAAATTTTTATCAAATTCCCATATTCTTAAATTTTCGAACAGTCGAATTTCAATATTTTCAAATCCGCAAATTCTATAATTTCTAAATCTCTCAGTGTTCATATTTTCAGATGTAAAAATTCCCAAATTTCGTAATTTCTAAATTTCCCAATATTCAAATTTTTATATCTCCAAATCTACTCATAAAAAACTGAATTTCTTTCCACGAATGACGTCACTTTACCTTTATTTATTTCGAGGTAACGTAGGCGTGCATAATTTCGTTCTGCTAATTTTTAAAGCGCTATAACCTTTTTTGATCCTTTGAGCGTGAAACGTATTTGAATTATGCAGATTATTTATTTTAACGGGAGGAAGTGAAGGATCATTGTATTTTGTACACTCTTTCATGTCTTTGTGAATAATTCGTTCCTGAACGCGAAACAAGCTTTTCAATTCTATTTTTACAATATGTTAATTAAGCAGCTTTGAGAGAAACGCAATTTTGAAAGTCACATATTTGATTCATTGAAGCTTGAATTTTCATTAATTTCTTGACGATTTGATTAAATGAATGCGATGGAATTAATTTATTTGGAATCAAAAGTCATTTTTGTTGCTCTTTGTCATTTACACAAAAACGAATTTCAAAAATAATTTTATTTACAATTTTTATTTTTATGTACTTACACACAGTAATATAAATATTATGTAGATTATGTACAAATGCACAATGTACATATATACATATTTTATTATATGTTTGTTATTAGTTACTTTAACAATAAATTTACCAGCATTATAATACACATTTGCTTTAAAATTAAGAAAGAAAATCTTATTATTGAACAATAAATAAATAAATGATAAAACAAATTAATCTATGTATTAATTCTATATTTCAATAAAAGTCAATATACATTTTAAGAAAACTAGCTAAAAAGATTTTGTAATTTAAAATAGGAACCTTATAAAACGATCATTTGACTGATTTGGTAGTTTTAGTGTTAATTACAAAATTTGTTAGTATTTATCTTAATTTATTATCTGACAGTAAATGAAATATAAGAAAAGGACCATGGATAAATGATTTTTTTATTAAAATTGAAATGTACATTAATACAGACATTTTTGTAAAAATAACATTTAATAATCGTCAAGTTTTCTCTTCTTTTTTTCACGCTGCGGATCGTTTGCAGAAAGAACAGGTGAGTTTAAGAATTAGGATTTTTCCTAATTACGATCTTTAGAATCTTTCTGCTACACTTGAAGAGCGTAAAATAATCAATAGTATAAAAATAATCTTTATAATATTTAAAGAAATACTTGTAACTGCGATGTTTCAAGGTCTCGACCAATAAGTTATTCGAATTAGCATTTTTAATAAAATAAACTGCACAATTGGTCATCTGGATACGCGGTCCCTGATGGGCTCATTTACTCCTAATAGTCTTTACTTGACAATTTACGAAATTTGTAAACATGCTTATCAAAATAGTTCACAAGGAAGCAATTTTGAAATTTTAGTGTTCGATCTGTCATTTACGAAATCAATGTTAAAGTGTATCAAGAAATAACCCAACCTAACAAGAAATAACAAAATGCACATGTGTGTACTAAAGATGGCGAACAACTTTTAAATCACTCGTGATTCGATCACGTTCGTTCCAAATTACGATGAATTTTCACAGCGATTCGTGATTTTACGTGATCGCTTCTGATTGATAGAGAGTATTCTTTTCACTTTTCACAAACTATATTCCTAGATTAAAAAAGTATTATATTATAACATGGTCTAGAAGCAACGTCAATAAAATTTTCTCATTAGAAGAAAGTAAAAGAAAACCTAAAAATAATAAATAAATAAGTTTAATTTTTAATTTTTTTAAATCTTGTTTCAAGAACGTACATAAAATTCTTCAACGAAGTATACGCAAAACTAACCTGCTTCTAGTTTTAAATTGTAACTTATTCCTTATTATGTTTTAAAATAATTGTACAATACAAAATGTCATATGAATGTATTATGAATGTCATATGTATGCAAAAACTTAACACTTAATACGAGTAATAGTAAAAGTTAAATTAACATTCTTGAATTTTCACTAAAAGGGTTCAACGTTCACTAACGATCACGTGATTAAACTAAACTGCCATTTTCCGTATCACAGTCGCTAAGAAAGTTGAATCACGATGGTGATTTTGTAGTCACTCTGATAAATCACTGTTAGTGATTTTGTGATCACTGTGATAAATCACTGTTTGTGATTTTGTCATCACCGTGACAAATCACTGTTTGTAATTTTGTACGCCATCTCTAGTATTCTATAAGATGAGTCCTGATAGGTTGTAGAAACAAATGCACCTATGATTAATTAAATCAGAAACCACATTCCAAGATTGATAAATATTTTTGAAAGTAGACAATTAGTTGCATTAATCATTGTTTCAAGAAAAATAAAGAAAATAGACTTTTCTTAATTCGTAGAGGTTAACTTGTGACGTGCGAATAATTTACATGTATACGAGGTGTGACACAAAAGTAACGAGACTAGTCCAATAAATCATTGTACCTGCAGAATCAGTTCTCCGTGACATTATCACCTTCAAAGTAGTTCCCTTCAGCATTCACACACTTTTGCATTCGGTGCTGCCATTGCTGGTAACAGTTCTGGAACGAGGTTTTTGGAAGTCCCTTCAGGAGATTCTCCGTTTCTGCCTGAACCTCTTTAACTGAGGTGAAATAGGTTCCCATTAAGCAAAATTTAACTATAGGAAATAGAAAAAAGTCGCATGGAACCAAATCAGGTGAATAAGGAGAATGCCCCATCACAGTAACATTTTTACTGGTCAGAAACTGCTTGGCAGACAGTGCCGTGTGAGCGGGTGCATTGTCCTGGTGCAACAGCCATCCATCGCTTCACAACTGTGGCCTTTCATTCCTAATTTTTTCATGAAGTCTTTTTAGTATTTCGATGTAATAGTATTAGTTAACAATCTGACCATTGGGAAACCACTCAATCATTACAATTCCATTAATGTCGAATTTTGATTTTGACATGCGTGCTTTTTTGGGTTTTGGGGATCTTGGAGACTTCCACTCCATTGACTGGCGCTTACTTTCTGGATCATAGGTAAAAATCCATGTCTCATCACATGTTACAACAGATTTTAACAAATTTTACAAGAAACTTGATGTTTATTC